TCTGCAGATGCCGGGTGCTCTTTCCTTCGGGGGCGGGGGTCTTTGTGGTCTTCCTGCAGGAGACCCATAAGGATCCAGCCGCCGAAGCCAGTTGGCGGCTGGAGACGGAGGAAAGGGTTTATTTCAGCCACCTTACAGCTCGTACAGCTGGAGTGACTACCCTGTTCTCCCCCGACCTACGGCCTGAGGTGCTGGGGGTTGCCGAGGCTGTGCCAGGCTATCTGCTGCACCTGCGGGTACGCATGGAGGGGCTGGTGGTCAATCTCGTCAACATCTATGCCCCCGCCATCGGGCCCGGAGCGGCTGCGATTTTTTTTTCTGGCAGGCATCCGCCTTCCTTGGATCCTTGCAAGTGCCTGGTCCTGGGCGGGGACTTGAACACCACCTTCGATGAGCAGGACCGCTCAGGGGCCGAGTGGTGTCCGGCCGCTGCAGATGTTCTCTGGGAGATTGTTGACCGTCACTCCCTGGTGGACGTTTGGCGCTACTACCACCTGGATGACGTCTTGACGTTCACCTATGTCCGGGTGGAGGCCCATCAGTCATGCCACTCCCTGGTTGGACTGCATTTTTGTATCACGCTGTCACCTTTCACGGGCCCACTCCTCCAGCATCCGGCCAACCTCATTCTCGGATCACCATCTGGTGACTCTGATGGCCTCTCTCAGTGCAGAGAGGCCAGGGCCAGCCTATCGGCATTTTAATAACAGCCTGCTGGAGGATGTGGGCTTCGTGGTGTCCTTCCGGGAGTTCTGGCTGGCCTGGCGAGGGCAGTAGCACAGCGCGGGGGTGGTGGGACGTTGGGAAGGTGCACGCCCAGCTCTTCTGCCACGACTGTACTCGGGCTGCCAGCTGGCGGAGGGATGCGGCGATAAAGCAGTTGGAACGGGAGGTCGTGGTGAAGGCCATCTCGCTGTGACTGGGGTCCATGCTGGCGGACGTGGTCCATCCTGACCAAACCTACACCGCCCTGGACCGTACCATCTTCAACAATCTTTATTTGGTCTGAGATCTTCTTGAGCTTGTGTATAGGGATGGTCTGTCATTTGCCCTCCTTTCCCTGGATCAGGAGAAGGCGTTCGACTGGATGGACCACAGGTATCTCCTGGGCACTCTGCGGGCATTTAGCGTCGGGCCCTGTTGTGTGGGATTTCTCCAGGTGCTGTACCCTTCCGTGGAGTGCTTAGTCAGGCTCAACTGGACCCTGACCGCACCTGTCAGCTTCGAGCGAGGAGTGCGTCAAGGCTGTCTGCTGTCAGGCCAGTTGTATACTGCGGCCATTGAGCCCTTCCTCCATCTCCTCTGGAAGAGATTGATGGGCTGGTGCTCCGTGAGAAGGGGATGCGGCTGGTCCTGTCAGCATACGCCAATGATGTGCTCCTCGTGGTACAGGACCCGGGCGACCTAGTGCAGGGGGAGGCCTGCCAAGCTGTGTACTCGGTGGCTTCCTCCGCCCAGGTCAACTGGGTCAAGAGCTCTAGCCTGACAGTCGGGGCTGGGTGGCAGGCAAACTCCCTCCCACCCACGCTTCAGGCAATTTAGAGGGGCCCAGGTCCACTGCTCTATCTTGGCATTTATCTTCCTGCCATGCATCATTCTCCACCGGAGAACTGGCATGATTTGGAGGGCAGGGTGGTTGAGCGGCTGCGGAGGTGGGCAGGACTGCTCCAGTGCCTCTCCCTTCGGGGGAGGGCACTGGTGCTTAATCAGCTAGTCCTTTCCATGCTCTGGCACTGGTTCAACACCCTGTACCCAGTCCTGGGGTTCCTGGACCAGCTCCAGGAGTTGGTTCTGGAGTTCTTTTGGCCAGGGCTGCACTGGGTCTCTGCAGGGGTTTTGCATCTTCCTCTGGAGGAGGGAGGACAGGGCCTGATGTGCACGTGCACGCAGGTCCATGTCTTTCGCCTCCTGGCCCTGCAGAGACTCCTTTATGGTGCAGGTGGCTCAGCATGGAGCATATTGGCGCATGCCTTCCTTTGCCGCCTCTGAGGGCTCCACTCATGGCAGGACCAGCTCCATCTATAACATCCCTGACAGGTGTTTGTCTAACCTGCTCTTAAAAATCTCCAATGATGAAGATTCCACAACCTCCTTAGGCAATTTATTCCAGTGCCTAACCACTCTGACAGTTAGGAAGTTTCTCCTAATGTCCAACCTAAACCTCCCTTGCTGCAGTTTAAGCCCATTGCTTCTTGTCCTATCACTAGATGTTAAGGAGAACAATTTTTCTCCCTCCTCATTGTAACCACCTTTTAGGTACTTGAAAACGGTTATGTTCCCTCTCTGTTTTCTCTTTTCCAGACTAAACAAACCCAATTATTTCAATCTTCCCTCATAGGTTGTTTTCCAGACCCCTAATGAACCTCGTTGCTCTTCTCTGGACTCTCTCCAATTTGTCCATATCTTTCCTGAAGTGTGGCACCCAGAACTGACACAATACTCCAGTTG